CAAGTGCATTCTGATAGTTTAAAAAAAAAAAAACCTTTCCAGAATTCAAAATGTAGAGAGCTTTTGCAAAGTACATAGCTTTTTTCTCCTAATACAATGTGGTCATATAATTCTGCTCAGTGTATTTCCTCCAGATTATTTTTCTTGATTGTAAAGATTAAGTCTGTGCAAACAGTTAAGAACATGGGAATCGCCAATACTACTCACATTAATGGTCTATATAATTCTCTGTTTTGATTGACCACTGCTTTGGAGGAAATTTTTTCCTAACAAGGCATTGGTATTTCTAAATGTTCAAGAAAAATATGAGCTAAGACTCAAAACAGTGGTCCCTGGTAGCCTCTTTCAAGTATTCAGTTTCTTATAATGTCCTCTTCTGAGCATGTTTGGGGTTTTTTTTTAATCTATTTTTTTTGTAAATGAGAAAATTTATACAAGGTGGAAAAATTGCAGAACATTAAAACTGATCATTTGTAAAACTCTGCCTACTGCACAATCAACAGGAAAAAAAAAAACCCCTAAACTCTGGAGAAACCACCTTACTCCTTCATTCCTTTTTCAGGGTTTTTTTTTGTTTTGTTTTGTTTTTTTTTTATTTATTTTTTTATTTCTAGGTGCTGTTCTARCAATAATACAGGACCCATGTTCAGATGAAACTCATTTTTAGTAGATTTATTTCATTCTGATTGACTCAGTTACTGCAGAATTTAATGATATAATGAATGATGATTGAATTTGATCTGGTATTATTATTTGGCATGTTTATTTCAGAACAACAAAAAATTAAAACTTTGTCTTTAGTCATTATTGAATGTATTTGTTTTATTATCCTTCTATTTTATATCATTTTTATTGCAGACATGATCTACATTTACAAAGWTTATGTAGTTTCATATTACAACATGAGTTTGTTGCTGAATTAACAAATTGTTAATCTTGCCCATTAAAGGCAACACAGAAATTAAGCCTTTCAGTCAATATCTGCAAGAAGAAGACATGGTGAAAATATTTCATCTTTTGGATTCCCCTCCAGAAAGGTGATATGAATAAAAAGATTTCATRCAAAACTCTGTTTAGTCTAATTAATAGCATTTTTCTGTATTCATTGTATGTTTTTCAAAAGAATGCTGTGAAATATTTTTGCATGTCAGAGATGAAGGAAGTGTAGCTATTAACCAGCTATAGAGTAAGGAAGAAAATAAGCAGGCTAAGGAATGAGAAGTGAAYGGATTAAAATATTTCCATAAGATATTTTTAGTGTTTATAAATGTTAAATATTTTTGTTAACTATTAATAAAGCRTAGTTTTGATTTATATATGTTTGTATGGAATACATGGCATGCTGCTTGCCTGTATTTCTGGATTGGTTCCACCTCATCCCTTTTACAGTCCTCTTGTCTTTCTCTGTCCATTGACCTTAGCTTTTTAGGCTATAGGCCAGTCGTACAGTAAATCCAGACAGAGGTCTCCTCTGACACAGTGTCTGTGTGATGCCAAGTGCTGACCCAGCACATGCTGCTTCTGCCAGTTCAGATTTATTCAGCGCTTTTGAACCACTTTCCTGGGAAGCTGCCTCTCCTAGTGGGTGTCCGTGTTACACCTCTGCAACGTGACGGGGCTTGAGGGGTGGCCGTCAYGAGATGCATCTCGTGTGCTCCGACTTGTCTTAGCAGCTCTGCGATTGTATGGTCATGCTGAGCTCWGGACAAACTGCTGCTCCTAGATGACCTGTAGGTCAGAAGAAACGTTGATGATAATGATAATAGATACAAAATTATGATTTAATACTAGGCTGTTTCTCGATAACCATTCACAGAATCCCAGAATCACAGGATGGTTGAGGTTGGAAGGGGCCTCTAAGGATCATCCAGTCCAAGCCCGTGCTGCAGCAGGGACACCCAGAGCACAGGGCGGCATCCAGGCGGGCTGGGAAGATCTCCAGAGCAGGAGACTCCACAGCCTCCCTGGGCAGCCTGKGCCAGGGCTCGGGCACCCTCACAGGGAAGAAGTTCCTCCTCACATGGAGATGGAGCTGCCTGGGTTTSAACTGGTACCCATTGCCCCTTGTCCTGTCACTGGCCACCACTGAGAAGAGCTTGACCCCTTCTCTCTCTCCTTTTTTTTTATTTACTTATTTTTATCATAGGAATAATATTTATCTTGCCCCAAAGCAGCAATGTGTATTACTGAGAAAAAGACCAAAAGCTTTACCTTCCATTTCTTCCTTAGAGAAATCTCCTGGCATATTTTTCCCTGGGCCAAGTCTTAAAAACAATTTTATCTGCCATCCCACTAAAAAGATCTCTCCAAAATATGACTTTTTGTGGTTTTACCGCTTTCAATGACCAGTTACGTATCTTTGGACTTAACCCTGATGCACGGAATTCTCTGTTCTGTTCTTAGCATTGTTGAGGGTGCTGGGGATAAGAACAGAACCTTCGATTGCAATGGAAAACTACAGGGTATTGAGGGCATAACTTTCTGTGTTAATAGTTCTGGTTTTGACCCTAMTCCATTTTTCTGGTTTTGTTTCTGTTCTTTTTGTTTATTTGTTTGTTTGGGTTTTTTTTCTAAGGAGCTCTGGTTCTATCGTCTATAATCAGCAATCTCATTCTGTGATTTCAGACTTTCATCTAGATCAATTAGATGTCAGATGGCCAGTCTTTAAACAAAAATTGGACTAGTGCACAGCTCTTGATTTCCTCATTTATCCCTCTTTGGATACAATACATCTACATATTACTGTTATCATGTGAAATATGTTGCAAGTGGCTATGTAAGAAGAGCATTATATTATCATCCAGGAAGGAATAAGAACGTATTTAGTATAATTCTGTGGTAAAATTGTGGGTTTTTCCAAGGCAAAGAAATAGTTCTGTATTTTATTCATTAACTGATATATTTAGGGTGTGCGAACTTCACAGTTGTATTCTGTGTCAAATAGCAATTGGTTTTCTTAAGTTCTTATAACACACTTCCCTATTCCTTATATACTTCAGTGCAGAAATCCCTTGCTTCAACATAAGGAAAGCATCTTTCTAAAAAATATCTAATTATGTATGTAGATGTACTATACAGAATTTTGCATAAGGTGAAAAGAATGTTTTAAATTTCTATTTTTCTTCGTCTTTGCTAAAGAAGCAAGTATTCATATTATTACTAGGAATACCTTACGCTTTTTGCTTAATTTTGTTGTCTAGTTGTGTTTTAGCATCCTGTAGTATTATAAAAGCAACTTGGTGAATAACATGCTGATAAAGATCGATTCAGATTTCTTCTTAAATTTGCAAGATGTAAATTACTGTAAAATAAAGAAAAGACATTCTCCTATTTTTTAGATTAAATTTTTAAGTTCTGGAATGATCAAAGAGAAATCTCACAAAGCTTTTCTGGTGTCCAAAATGCAATGCACCATTTAATGCAATACAAGGAATTTTCCTTGCATTTTTGCCTTTGACAATTTCCAGTCCTTCTAGATAAATTTCAGTCTGAGTTATTTTTGCATTTTCAATTTAGCATCAATAGATGCTATATTGTTCATCTATTTTTCTAAGTAGTAGATATGACTAAATTGTGAGTGTTAAAGGACTGCTGTATTTCATCTCATGCAGTAGGGAGTCATGAGATCCATAACATCCATAAATGATTTTACACAATTCACTGGAGATTGGTAGACTGAGGGCTATATATGTGATAAACTACATATGTGAGTATGTTAAAGTGAAAAAGAAGAATTTGAAAAGAAAGCACAGAATTCCAAAACAGAAACTAACATCTGCTTCTGTTCCTTTGTTAAAGAAATTGTATCATTTGAAATTTCTAGGGTGCAGACTTTAAAGATATTTACTGTGGAGAAGTTTAAAGGATTTGGCTTTTCTTCTTATGTCTATATGAGCCATGGATACTGTGACTTCTTTATGAAGTTCACAACTCTTCTAAACACCCTTTTAAAGAAGTAGTATGTGAGTTGTGCAGTGGAAGTCAAAAGCAGATTCAAGTTTTTATTTTTTTTAGTTATTGAAATACTTTTCATGATACTCATCTTGATCTTGCTTTAGAAGAGTCTGAACACAGGGAAACTGATACAAATATGGAAAATGTAATTGCTCATTTGGAACAGCTGGGAGAATTTGCTAGACATCAAACAACTTCCAGATCATGACCTACATTTTAACTTTTTCATCTTATGTTTTAAAACAAGAGACTTTGTACACCACCACCTGTGACCCAAGCTAGGACATAAAGTACACAGAGCATTTGCAGCGATGCTCCTCTGTAATCATCCCATGCTACTGCGTAAGAGCTATCAACTTGAATCATGGCAGCAGTGATTAAAAGTAGATTGTGGTCTTTTAGAGAAGGTTGTGGATACTTTTCTGTTTGATTCTGCTCGAATTCCTCCCCACAGGCATCTTAGAAATGCTGGATCCCAGCAATAAATCACTCTGAGTACAACAGAAATGCACATAGGCTTCCCTGCACCAGACATATGGTGGGGTGGTGGATTGCATGCACGCTAGCAGTGCCCATGCATTTTAGGTGGGTACTGTTAGGTAGGATGGAGAGGCTGRCAGTTGCTAGGGGCAGTGGGTTTTGGTGGTGGGTGAGATTCGTGGCATGGTTGTGCTTCAGCACAGACCTCTCTGCGTTGTTACCCATCACCAGAGGGAGTTTCACAGTAGTCTTTCATTACGGCTTGGCTATGCCTCAACTGCTCTTTAGCCAAACTCTTCTGGCAGTGATTTTTCTGGTGTCTATCCATGTTTAGCCACGATGGTGGGTCTTGTGCTCATGTAGTTCAGTCTTTTTTTGCTAGCATGCCTAACATTCTCCTTTAGAGCATCGCTTTTCATGTATGGAGAAGATTTTAAAACCCTCGCATAGTTCCCCTGTTCTGTTTGAACTGAATATGCTCAGTTCAAGCCTCTTGTGCTAAATGACATGAGTTATGTGTCCTCACCCATGGGAGATGGATACTAACCTGCCTTGTTTATTTTTAGGAGGTCTTGGTTATGGACCCCAGTACAAGTCCATTGGAAAAGGCAGCTGCAACAATCTAGTAGTCACCAGCAGTCCCATGACAGTTCAACGGCTGGGACCTATTTCTCCTCCTGCTAATCAGGTCTCAACAGCTTGCAACCAGATCAGTCCTAGCTTACAGAGGTCTGTGGATGCTTCCAACCTGGGTGTACCTCCATCTGATACAAGGTCCTGAATGAATTTTTTTCTTTTTGGTAATTTAAAAAAAAAAAAAGGAGTATTTTAATTCTTTTGCCATTTAAATGCAACTTTTTCTGGTAAATGTAATGGCCTAAGTGATGCTCTGTTATGTCATGGGGAATTAACCATAATGTAATTCACGTTAGCAGTAAACAGATTGGTTTAGATAATTCAAATGAAGCATGAAATCTGTCCTCACATTTTCTCTGATTCATTAGATCAACATTTTTGTAGGCAAATAGCCATATTTTTCTACATATAAAAAAAAGACAGAATATTCTGTAGTGAATGAAAGTTGATATACTCCAAGTGTTAAATCTATGGGGACAGTGAGCTTGTTTTTTACACTTACCAAAGTTATGTTCTTGCCTGTGAAATAACACTAATGTCAATCTATGAAAACTAAAATTCCCCACTTCTTCTCATCAAGTACTATTTACATTAAATTTTTCAACTGGTCAAAAGATTTAAGATGATCAGATCAAATGTGTCCAATCTGCCCTTAGCCATCAGTGTACTGCATCCATATTACTCTTGAAGGTGGACCATTTTCCCTGCTCCCATGGGTAGTTAAGGAAAAGTCATGGCCCTTCTCTGTAAATCTAGCCTTTTTTATATCACTGAACTGCATTTACTTATTTATTATTTAGTTTGTAAATACTGAAATAATTCATGAGGTTATAGTTATCACTGTTGGAGACACAAAGGAGTAAGGGGAAAATGTTCATTTAGACACTTTCCATACAAATACAGTAAGCATACTGGTGGATATCAGTTAAACATTTTATATAACATGCTAGCTAAGCATATAGTGATAAAATATTCTAGTGTCACTTTGGGAGCTACTTGCTCCCCTTTCCAGATGTGACTTCTGTTGATTGAAATAGTTGTAACTTCCTTATTTACAAAAGATAGTGAGAGTTTCTATTCTGAACACAATTTTTACATAATTACTTTATTACAAGGCAAGAAACAGTCTTGAAATGATTATGACTGATATTATGTGGTAAAAAAACCTTGTTATAATATACTGTAAAATTTGAGTGTCATTTCTGTAATTTCAATTGTGAAGATCAAGTCCTTTAGTACCCTTCATTTCTCCCAGTATACAAAAATTAATTATGCTTTCTATATAAATGTGTCATGGAAAATTATTCATGGCTAAGTTGATTACAAATGCAAGGACATACATTTGAAGGCAAAATCAACATGATAATATGCAGATATCATGAATTGTTATCTGCTTAATAATCATTAGTATTAGATTTACTTGTATGGTTCCAAACTATCAGTTTTGCATGATGGTATGTTAGTGTATACTATATCAGTATTGAGATACACATGTTTGTTTTTGCTTGAAACAGGTATTTACTAAGGGTGAAATGAAGCTGTAATTCTAGCACTTCTGGGATCCAGTGTTTCTTTGAATCTCTTTTAATGTTTACTTATGAAAGTGTTGAAAAATAAGAACTTGTGACACCGAAAATGTCCATTTCAGCATTTTTCTGTCAAAAGAATTTTTAAGTTAGCTTTTAGTACTTAGGTTGTAAAAACACTGGATTTTGATTTGTTTCACCATTAAAACACATCTTCCTAAAGTGCTATTTTACTCTTCAAGATTTTCAATTTACATATCCCTCAAATCCGTATTCTGTCATTGACTCAATGCGTTCCCTGGGTTGTACTACTGAGGATGCATCATGAACTACGTTCTGGCAGCAAACAGATTATTTGTTGAATTGACCCAGAACAAATTGTTTCATCTTGATTTATATAGACGGAAAAAGTTGACAAAACTGAAGTTTTGCTACAGATAACATCAGATTTTGGTATATTGCCCAAGAAGGATAAAATCTTCCACCCATCTTTCAGAAAGTTTTCCAAACAACTTTTCAGAGGAGGTAGTCATGGTTCTTGAAAACAGATGCAGTATTGCCATTCACTTAGATGTGAGAGAAGAATTTAGGATAAGAGCAAAGCGTTCTTGGCTAGCGAACAGAAGACATGCAAAAAGATAAGAAAATGTCTTTTAAGTCTTCTGTGCTTACTGTTAATAGTCTGGGTTGTAGTTGGCTCTGTAGCCTAAGCACTTGGAGAAAAAACAGAAAGTAATTGCAGGAATCCCTTGTAAATATTCATAAAAGACTCYGTTCCAAACATACAACTGGTTTAGATTACAGCAAGCACTCATGTGCCAGTTAATACCATTAGATAATCTGGCACCGTGCTATATCTGCTCCTTCATTTTCATGTTAATTGTATGTATCTTCTCCCCCAAAAATGTTTGCTTAGAGAGCTGGGTTTTAAAAAAATGGCTTTTGTTTTGAGAGCTGGGTTTTTCAGTTAAATTGACTTTTGGATTTAGATATTATAAGTTAATGCAGTTCTTTACTGGTATGTGTATTCTTTTACATTAGTAATCAGTAGTTTTTTAAATACCTTTGGTCCCAATACATATATGAATATAATCCTTTTAAGTCTTGTCAGACTTGTTTCATTGATGCATGCTTTTTTTCCTCTACTTTTAAAAGAGGAACACCTATTTTAAACTACCATACTAACAAAGACCTACTTAGATTTATTTTCCGGATGTAAATATATAGCTTAAGAAAAAAAAAATAAACTCTATTTCTTTTTTTCTTGCTCTGTTGCAGACTGTCATTTTCTATTTAGGGTCACACCATACTAGTATGTTTAACTGCTCCTTAACAGTAACAAACTGTACTTAACAGAGTTCATTGATAACAGACCCAACAGCCCGAATCAATTTTTTTTTCACAGATAATTACCCTCTTTAGATCCATATCTTATACAAGATTGACCTGATACAGCCACCCTATTATTCTCATTTTTTCTCAATACAAATTGTATTCAGCCATGTCATTGTGCTTTTCTTCAATGTTCTGAATCAAAATTGCTATTTTGAAAGCACCACTRATTTCCATAACAGCACGTTGTACTAATATTCAGTTCAAGCAGGATGTTTCTTAGTTTTTCTGATACAGCGGATCGACAATCTGTAGTAAGGGGAATTATCTCGGAGAAAGGAGCATTTGCCCATCTACCCCATAGTTCAGCCAGCAAGGCCAGGTGAAGTTTCAAGCTATATTTTAGATGTTTTATGAGCTGTGTCTGTGTAGCCAGAAGATATGTGAGAGCCTCCTCTGCAGTGAAAAGGTTCCCATCTGGGTGGAAAAGACCAGAGTTGAAGCACTGATTTCTGAAGCTCAAGCTCTGTTCCTTCATCTCTTCAGGAGTTTAACAAAGACATGGGCTTTGTTCCTGTGGCACGGTCAGGCAAAATAAAATCACCTCAAATCGACTCCTTCTTCATCTTTTTTTGACTCCTGACAACTGGAAAATATTATATTTTACAATAACATTTTTGATATAATAATATTTCTTTTAGAAAAAAGATCACACAAGTAGTGTTTGCATAGTTGGGCAGAATAAGATAACAGAAACGCCAGGGATTTTCAGCTATTAACTGAGTGACTAGGGTTTAGTGTCAAAAGCTAYGGACACTTCTCTTGCCAGAATGACATGACCTAGTGTTTTCACACATTCTCTCAACCTTGTTTATCTGGTTAAAAAGTAATCCACAGATGTCACAGGTGAAAAGTTGACCCTACCAAACAAAATCGTGTCAAGAACAGCTGATGTGATTTTATCATTAGTGGAAATTTGGTAAATATTAGGATATTCACCAGGAATCTCTCCTAGACAATTGTTTTGGGTCAGTTCCTGCTCTCTTGGGTTGACTAGTGCTATTTGGCATGGCGTTCAAATCCCTAGTGTCTATCTGCCACCAATATGTGAATTGTGTAATTTTATGAATCTCCACAGAAGATGCAACCACTGCAGGAAGGACTGCTGTGCATATATAATAACTTGAAATTTGTTTTATTTAAGCACAAATAACAGTTTTGAGAGGTGGTAGTCAAACAAAAGGCCAGGCAGTGCCATCATTTGCAGATTATTGCTAGTGCCATGTGTGGTTCAAACTCTGCTTTAAGAATGAACCTTTAATCAGATCTGACACAGATACTTTTTTACTGAAACATTCTCTATAAAAAAACTTACTTTTTTTTTGAACTTGCTGCCTAGTTCATCTTGAATAGATAACTTACTTCCTTGCAGAGAGAAAAACATGGTAGAATCGTCTCCTGAAGATGTTTTCTTGTAACAATATGTATAATTGATACAACAAAGAGATGAGATTTTTCTTTATTTTCTTTGCAGTACATAATTTCTCTTTCAGACATCTGATGTAGCAAAATAAAGCTGTGCAGTTAATTACATATATACAATCRGCTGTAAGAACTTACATGGGTGTATCTTATTCCTTTTAAGTAGGCTTATATGACTTGTCTTTAGACTAATGCTTTTAAATATTTTATATTTAAGGCTTTAGGAAATATTATTAAGAATGTAATTTTATAGCACCTTTTGCCTTAGTTGCCTTTTCTAAAGTTAATTTGATCTATTGAAGTCTTCGTATAGCAGCAAAAGTTCTTGATGTGCCTTATTTTCCATGTGAGAAACTGAGCAAATGAATGATTGAGTAAACTGTCCACCATCAAGAAGTTATCGGATTTAGAAAAGAAACAATTTTTTTTTAAGGTGCCTGATTCACTATAGAAATTCTGTGGTTCTTTAAAAGTCTATAACATAGAGGATATAAGAATTAACCTGAGCATAAACTGCAGCTGCTTCTGTGGCAGTGCCAGCTCCAGGGTCTGGTTCTTGTCACTGTTTGCAACCCTCAGAAATATTAGTTAATATTTCTGTTTCTGGCTGCCAGGAAGTCCAATACTGCCAAGATGTGGAATTGAAACATAAAGAGAATATTTTTATATATATATATATATGTATACACACACACACACACACACACACACATTTAACACATACAGCACATATAAACACATTCATATAACATACATAACATATATAACATATATGAACAAATATATATGTTTATACATAACAAATATTGTTTATATGTTTATATGGTCTATATATAAACCACATAGAATAACTTGCCCTTTACCCAGAAGTCTCTTTTGAAGCCATGAACCAGGGACCCTGGGTTTCATGTATTTCCTATTCTTTACCTTTATGTAGAAACCAGTGCTGTGGTGAGCTGAAGAGTTCCTTTGTTAAGCTGCACGTCAGATGTTTGTGGTATAAGCTTCTTTGCAGCTAAGTTTCCTAAAATTTCTGAGAATATTCAATAATAACATTTGGTTAATATATATATTTTTTATTTCAACTAATGACTTGAAGGCAGATACATCATAAAATCACAAATAAACTAGCCAGTTCATCTACATTATAAACTTACTTTATTTGTTTTGTAAAGTTAGATATTATCTGTAATTTATAATCTGGAGCTATTTCTGTAAAGAAGAACAATATTTGTGTGCATCACAATTGGTAATGTCAGTCAGATTAAACATTTATTCTTCATTAATCATTTTCCTTCCTTTACTTTTGCCACCAGAAATAATAGACAGTTTTCCCAAAGCAATATGAGTTTCATGCAAGGTGGCAATGTTGATGCTTTGCCCTCAGAAGCCCAAAGCTATTTTCAGCACAGAATTTGTACTGACATATTGACTGTACAACACAGATTGTTGTAGTAGTGTACCCAGGAGTTTCACAGCAGGASCTTTTCTTCAAGAATCTTGACGTTTTGGAGTTGATTTAAGTTGATTTTTAAGAGTCCTTGTTGCTTGCGTATTGCCCATGTGTGGCTGCTAAGTGAACACAGAAACATTTGAATATGTAAAATTAGGGCAAGCTTTTCTTACATGTGGTCCTCCTGTCTTTATGTGCCAATGGGAAGAAACACTGTGCAGCTTTTTTACCTTGGAGCCACTCCGGTGTCTCATCACTGACTTGCTTATCGTGCCGTTGTTGCAGGTCCCTCATGTCAAGCGAGCCGCCGCTGTCCCCCGCAACGCAGAGCTTGCTGGAAAGTCATTCAGCCCTGAGTGTGAAGCAAGAGTGGTCGCGTGGCTACCGGATACTGCCTTCCCTTCCRCCCAGCCACGATTCTCCAAACGGCAGCGACCTGGAGGACCTGCTCAATTTTCCACCCGGAACACCCATGTCCTGTGGCAGTGTCTCTAATTCCCTGCCGTCCTGCTTGCTTGGCGTGGAAAACAGCCATGCTGCCTACCTGAGCCCTTGCCACTCCGCAGCCTGGCCTCAGTCTTCCCGCTCCAAGAAGAGRGCGCTTTCCCTCTCCCCTCTCTCCGATGGCATTGGATTCGACTTCAACACCATCATCCGCACGTCCCCGACCTCGCTGGTCGCCTACATCAACAGCTCTCGGGCGTCACCAGCTAGCCTCTCCCCGCAGCCCGAGGTCTACGGACACTTTCTGGGCGTGAGAGGGAGCTGCATCGCCCAAGCTTGCTCCATCCCCAGCACCCACAAAGGCCTTCTGGTGGCCAACGGGAACGTCACCCTGCCCGGCCACGCCGAGCACCAGAGCATGCAGCAGCTGGAGCAGGCAAGCCTGCCGCGGCCGGCACCGAGCAACATGGCCCTGCAGCACGGCGMACCCGCCATGGACAGCCAGCCTGTGGGCGCCTTGAAGAGCGAACAGCGCGACCATTTCTCTGCCCGGGCAGCTGAGGTGGCTCCTCTCCCACTGCTTTTACCGCCACAGGGCCCGCCACCGCCGTACCACGCGCACCAGCACCGGCGTGCGCGCAGCCTCCTCGGCCTCCCGCGCGCCGCGGCCTCGGCCGCCACCCCSGGAGCGCTGCTGGATGAGGACGGGGACCGGGATGATGTGGGCGGCAAGCACGGCTGCTGCTGGGTCGACTGCAGCGCGCTCTACGAGCAGCAGGAGGACCTTGTGCGGCACATCGAGAAGATCCACATAGACCAGAGGAAGGGGGAGGACTTCACGTGCTTCTGGGCAGGGTGCCCGCGGAGGTACAAGCCCTTCAATGCTCGCTACAAGCTGCTCATCCACATGAGAGTCCACTCAGGAGAGAAGCCAAACAAATGCACAGTAAGTCCCAATTCGTTCTCCTGACAGCAACGCAGACAGCTTGGGTTTACTCCTGAAAGCGCTGAGGTGTTTTAATTCTGCCTTTATTTCTACTGCCTTACGTGAAGGGATACCTGCTTCATCTTTTCACCTAGATAGAAAGGAAGAGTATTCTTTAACTCAATGTCTATCAACAGATAATATTAGAACAGATTTTATTTTCCAGATTTAGTAACTTCCTTTATAAACTCCAAAAGTCAAGGGATAGACCTTCATGAAGAACACAGTAGGTACCATCAGTGTCTGAACTTTCATGAACCCTCCATGGGTTAAAAATGCTTCAGTGCTGTGGAATATATGGCATTTTATCCTGAGCAGGTTGCTTCATGTCACTCCTTTCTGACTTGAGGAGATGTTAGGATCTCACTTAATTTTGCCCTGAGAAACTAAAGAAGTTGGGTATTTTTAAAGATGGTCATTTGTCTCTTGGTCATTACAGAAAACACACACTAACTGACAACGTATCTGAAGCCCTGTGTCCCTRCAGAAGTAAAAGTAAAATATATGACAGGGTTTCTGTGCCCACAGGCTCTGCTAGGGATCACTCAACTCCAAAAGCCCAAATTCTTTTCATGCTGTTTTGCTAATAATCAATTCAAGTCAGCTTCTCATATATGTAAACACATACAGAACTGTATAGAGTCAATAAACCCTATGGAGTCAGTAAACCCTGTGTTGGATTTATTTTTGGACTCCAGTGAGCTCTCTATTGTCTCTATAGTTAAAATTCTCCATTTGCCTTATATATAGTCTGTATTTTGAATGATGATTTGCTTACCATTACTTAATGTGCATTTAGTCTTACAGAAGGCAGCCTCACCAATCTCATTTCTATACCTCAGCTTAACCTAAGCAAACAGTAAATATATATTTTCTAGAAGTAGCTGCTGAAAATATCTTTTTCTCTCATTTTCTGTCCTTTGAAGTGCCATTCTTTTTCAGGAAAAACAGTTATTTTCCCAGATCTTGGCTTGAGGTTTAAATGGACTATAGAGAACATGTTTCTGCGGGACCACCTAGTATATCAYTGCACCTAGGAAGGCCCTTTTTATCCTCCCTTTTGTCATGCCAGAGCCTGAACCTGTAGCCTCTGCCTTTGAGCATTTTCTTTTATCTTATGTTCTCTTTTCTGATCTCTGGATGTATGGGATCTGATTTACTCTTAAATTCAGTTCCTCTTCAGGGGCTTCTTATCAACTTTATGGTGAGTAAGGAGGAAGAAAGAATGATTAGGAGCCAGGAAAGTTACTTTTTCCAGAGTAAGATAGAAAAAAATGAATCAAAAATCAGTCAGTGAGCAAGGAGAGGCCACTGTGTTAACAGAGTGAGCAGAAACAATGAAAGAGCACTGAAGAAAGAGTAATACAAGTGTCTATAATATGTCCAGTAGAAGAAGTATGGTATGGGATCCAGTAAGGCTGGAGAATGCATTACATTAGTAGCATCTTTAGCTGCCTATCCTACCTGTTCAGAAAGAACATTTAGAATAACTTTCTCCTTTAGAATGCAAAATTGATGCTGAAATGCAATTAATGGTTAACATTTAAGTAACATTTGCTGGCAGTTACCACACAACAGTATTGGATGCTCATTCAAGTATTCCTCTACACTTGAAAGGAAAGGAAAGGAATTTTTGTGATAGTTGTGGAAACACAGTGGTAACAGTTGGCAAATGCTCATGTTCTGCTTTCTTTGGCGATATCAGTCAGCTTGTTTTCTGCTTTGTATTCCTTCTTTTATAGCAGGTATTTTTTATGCTTAAAGTTCAACTGCCAAATGAAGTATTTAATTAACTTTATCTTTTGCTAGGCAAACTAGCAATCACAAATTGTTAAATTTACAATATTTGCTCTGGTGAAAATAGCAACAGCATGTTCTTAGGGATGGATTTTAGACTCTTTCTTCGCAATTTACATTCAGGTACAATATGAATACTGGCTCTTCAAACTAAATACAATCTCATTTGTGTGAGTCCTAACTTGTTTTTCAGCACAATATCACTAATAGTATTTTGAAGTATAAGGAAGATAATGCAATGACTGTTTTTTTACCACAGCTGATCAATGTATTTTAAACAAACAAAATTACCACTGGTATTCAACTTGTAAAATGACCATTACTGAGATTTGGAATACAATCCATATAACAAGTATTGAAAATGTCTTAGCTTTCAGAAGATATCCTATATTACATAGGATACATACTAAGCATAGAAAACAGGAGGTGTGGTTAAAAAAGGAGCATAAAAAACAAAACCCTTGCATAATGTTTATACAAGGCACAAACGAGTATCTTGGTGTGTGCACATGTTTAGATACATGTGTACACTATTTGAAGAACCTCTGTGCAAAAGATAATTTTTTGAAGAACATCTATGCAAAAGATAATTTTTTTCACACTATAGACATTGATTTTCAAACAATTTGAATTTTAATTAATGTTAGTAACCCCTACAGAGAACTTAAACATCTAAGTCAGAAGGTTTATCTGTGAATACAGGCTTTCAAAAAAATGTTGAGAATTAATTATCATAGTACACTTTTTTGTTTATTCATTCACAGCAAATAAGAAACGAAGAAATACCGCATACTTTTCTGTGCACTTGTCTTTCCAYTAGTTAAATATATGAAACCAAATGCTCACATATCCTGAAGGATTTGGAGATATTAAGGCATTCAAGGAAACATTTTTTGAGCATTCAAATTTAGCTGAAGATTTTGTTACTTGTATTTAAGGGAATTAAAGTGATTTAATGCTTAAAGAATCCAGGGCTGTGGTCAGTGAGCTTCTAGGCAGAATCACTCTTTGGTTCTCTTGATTTAAATAACACATTTCAAACATAATTTTACACATATATTTAGACCTTTGGGCAATGCAACCCAAGGTCTGAAGGGAATAAGAATCTTGGACTTGAATATTATCATGTAGTGGGGCTCTGTAATAACCCCTCAGTTGTTGATCGTCTATTAAGAAGGGCTGAGTAACTGCTTTAATACTGATTTAATGCCTCCACATCTTCCGGATTTCACAGAATCACAGAATGGTTGAGGTTGGAAGGGACCCCTAGGGATCATCCAGTCCAGCCCCCTGCTTYAGCAGGGACACCCAGAGCACRGGGCACAGGGCGGCATCCAGGCGGGCTGGGAAGATCTCCAGAGCAGGAGACTCCACAGCCTCCCTGGGCAGCCTGTCACCCTCGGGGGAAAGAAGTTCTTCCTCATGTGGAGATGGGACTTACTGTATTTGACTCTGTGCCCATTACTCTTTGTCCTGTTGCTGGCCACCACAGAAGAGCTTGGCCCCTATTCACRTTCTACATGTTGGTAAGGTCTCCTCCCAATCCTCTCCAGGGTGAACAGGCCTAGCTCACTTAGTCTTTCTTTTGAGGTATTCTCACTGTGTGGGTATCATCTGAGCCTGGGCAGACTGCAGATCTAGCTGGGGAAACACCAGAAAAAGACTGCTGAGGGCATTACCAACATTTTATTTAGCACTGCCGTAGGACACAAGTCAGATCTGTTAAATGCACATGGATTTGCTATGTATTGTTAGAGTGACATAGCGATTGTTTGCTGATTTTACCTTTATCTACTCAGAGTGATTGGTTTTTCTGTCTATTAAAAGATTATTTTGATTTAGATTCAATACATCAGTGCTATCATTTTTAAAGATGTTTTGCAACTTTATTCCTTGAACACTCAGCTCTAGGGCATTATCATGCATCATTGCGAAGTTCAAGATYGTAAGTGAATCATTAAGAAAGATTTAATTGTGGTGAGAATTCTTTTTTAAGGTCTGTTTCTGCATGTAGTACTGAAATGTAATATTCGTTGTCTGCTCATAATGTAGCTTGTTTGATACAAAGAGTCATTATAAATGCTTTCCCTTTTTTCCCTTTTGAATACTTGTTATTGGCCATGAACTGGCACAAGCTCAAGGGAAGGGTGAGAGCGTGCCTCTCTGGGTACTTTTGGTACATTTCTATAAATAAATTGAAACAATATTAAACTGCTTTGGCTCTTAGCTATGTTCTTGACTGGCTGGCTCCTGCAGAACTGCTGCCAAGGATGATCAGATGTAAACATCATGCAATGCAACTATTCTGCTTCAGGGTCTCTTGTATTGCTGATGGATGTATTTTCCTAGCACCATTCAGATTTCTGTTTTACGAAATAACAGCTATGCAAACAAGCTTATCTGGGCTGACAATAAAAAATCATTGATTCTAATTAGGAGTCCCCACATAATAGGGAAGGACAAGGCATTTTTTGTTTCATGAAGAAAAATACTTGGCCTGTTTAGAAAAATGCCTGAGTTTCTTTCCAGGGGCTTTGCGTTAGTTGGTATGACAAAGTTTCAGTCCTCTGATCCTACAGTTTTCAAGTGATTCAGCCACTTGTCAAACGTTGCTAAGGATGTTTGATAGTAATCTGTCGCAGAAGTTGTGGCATAAGAATTAGAGCTTTTTTTCTTTTTTTTTTTTTTTTGGTCTAAAGGAGTGGGTCATGCACTCTTAAACTTGTTAATGGAATATCATGTTGAGACCATTGAGGTTACTGARGCTCTGATCGACTGGGAATGACTCCTGGTTTTTGACTGTCTAGGCCAACGTGTTGTGAATATTTTGTGTAAATCAAGGATATCAGTTAAGGGCAATACTGTTTTACACCTGTGCAAGTGAAACAGGCCAACTATGGTAGAACTTGTCAAGGAAAGAGACATATGGGTTAAAGCAATACTATAGAGATCATTGTAACTGATAGCTCGGGCACAGTAATTTGAAATATGCAACTATGTCACAGTGCTTTCCCAGACTATTAAACTCAGTGAAATGAATCACCATGAAACATGAGCCGGGAGCACTGCATCTTTACAAATCAGCAGAGAGTTTGGCTCCAAATTAAAAGCAAATATCAACCATCCTCAATTTTCCTGATCCATTAACCATGAACCAAGTTCTC